TTGGAAGAAAGTAATCATTTTTCAGGAGTTCTCCAAATTTGGAGAATTTCACCTTCTTTTTCCTACTTTCTTCATTTTGGACAAAGTTTTGAATGATTTGTTGGAGCAAAAATGTGTAAAATTTCCATTTTAAAGAATCTGTTGGAGTTGCTCAGAAGGGAAATGTTGGACTGGATAAAGACTTGTCACATTTGTAAACATGTAGGAAGAGATGAAGATTCAAAAAAGTTTTAGAGAAATGTTTACATCTCCTAAAATGGATTGTATGATTATGGATCAGTTATCTTGATTGATTACAGCTAAAACCATGGATTGGTGTTCTAGTGTGGCAATTAAATGTCTTCAATTGGATCTCTTTCCCTATCAATTCCATATCCAAAACATCTGCATACTACAGGCAAAAAGCAGGTGATAAGAATTCTTTGAAATGTGTTGTACCTTCTATCTCCAACGGGTTCGACCAAATTGGGATTGGGTTCGATCAAAGTGGGATTAGGTTCAACCAAATTGGGATCGGGTTCCATGTCTATCTCCTCCTCCTGTTCTTCTTCTTCGTCGGTATGTACTTCTACAATTTCACTTATACGACTCGCTCGAATTTGAGGTTCATGAATCATTAGCCCCTTTCCCTTTCTCCACCAGCCAAACTGTCTGAAACGTTGTTTAAACCGATCGAGTGGGCTCTTGTCGGGATTGAGTACATAGTCTGTATGTGTATATAAATGAGGTTATCATCATGTTTATATATCTAATGTTTAATGAAAGATAATAAAAATGCGTTGTCCCAGAATTTATTGTCTCCTTCGATCCATGTCCCACCAATAAGTATTTAATATAACTATATTTGATATATGTTTTTCTTCTCTCTCATTTGATTAGTGGAGAGAGCAAACAGAACAGAAATTTTGGGATAGCATATTTTCTTCCCGGATAAGAATCAGTAGTCCTAAATGTTCACGTCTCATTTATGTCCATCAATCATACGAATGCACATACCCAGAGAGAAACTGAACATGAATTAAATAAATTTGAAATAAATAAAAATTATATCTTAATTTCATTGAAGGACAAAAATAAGACGTGTCATTTTCAAGGTGGGACATGTCATTTTCAGACAACTGATTTTTATCCTTCGCTCCTTAAATATGTCTTTTACTTAGGGAAGGATGAAGCTCAATTGCCAACTTATGGTTACTTACCAACTATAGCATGTTCCTTCAGTTCACGAAAGCATTCTACAACTTCACTCTACAACCATTTTAACAAGTAAAAAAGTGAAATTTGTTAATTAGACACAGAATTTCTAGCAATTTCATGACTACAAAATAAAGAAGTGGAATCATTAAACCATGTTAATTGTCCCACATTATTGGTTGATAGAGAATTAAAGTGGATTTTCCAATAAATTACTAATTTTGTTATCAATATTGGTATGATTCATCTCAGTTATATTTAAGGCACAATTTGTTATTAGATTTCAGATACCCTCCCATTTGACTTAATCTCTATAGAATATGCAATGGTTCTATTAGTTTCTTGAATTTTACAGTGAGACGTTTTGAGCGTTGCTAGTAGGAAGCGTTTTGGAACCAAAAAACACCCAAGAATTAACAATATTAGTTGAATTTTTTTAGAAAGAAGGCGGTATTCATCCTGACCTGTTGAATAAGGCCACATCTGAGAAGCTTCCGGAAGGTCTCAGAATGCAACCCAGGAACTAAGTTGTAGGAAGCTACTAGAATCGCTGATGCCGCAATTGAAGAAGGTCTGAATTTTGTGAATCTAATATCTGGTAATTCGTTCAGATTGGAAAAAAAATGCGTGCATTAGTATATCAAACCAAACAAATTCGTAGTAGTTATGATGATACAGAGCACAGACATATTTTGTTTCACACACTTGTATCAACAAACAGACTACCTCTTTGAGTTTCACAAATTATCCCAGAAACAGGGGCGATTAGTAGCCATTCGGGCTGATCTTCTGGCTTAACCAGAGGAAGGAGGAAATAAGCGAAGGTTAAGGCAGTCAGTGGTCGTACCCTCCATCGTAGGCCTTCCAAAATCTGAAGCTCCATCACCATAACGTCGGTTGCGTTCCCAACTTGGTGTTTGTCCTATATATCAGACATACAATTTCAGATAAAAAAAATACAAACAAAATGTAAGTGTATGCATATCCTGGGAGAGAATGAGAAACCAAGAAGTCAAGGAACGAGAAGTCAGAACGGCACATGCACATCTTGCTAGCAATTGAAACGCAGCAGAAGACAAATAACTTCAAATTACTTTCAAAACCTTCTCCGCTCTTTATCACCTGTATCAGATTCAAAATAAGTGAATCTACACACATGTTGGTGAATGATGATCCATTCAAATAAAATTGAAATCGAATAAATGTAACAATACCGGTATATTGCCGTTTCTAGACAAGAAACGATCAAAATAAGTGATCGCAAGGAACATCACGATCCAATCAACTCCAGCATCAGACATATACTGTTCTTTCAGCAACAAATTAAGAAATCAACCGATAAACAGGATCAAACATCAATATTATCTCATCGTTATCGTAATTGAATTGAATTGCCGAATTTAATTTAAATCAGTACATTAATTATACCTTTTCGATATCTGGCATTGCCATGGATCTGATGTCGATGGACTTCTTCTGTTTGTAGTAATTAGGATCTGCCATGAATTCGACCTCGAGTTCAATGAACTCCTGGATTAGAGCTTTATAACTGCTTTGATGATGGCGTGGTAATGGATTTGTTAGATCGAAATACATTTTCATTGATCGCAAGAAGATGTATCGCCGGAGTGAATGCAAGTATCGATCGGCGTTAAGATGTCTTCTCTGGAAACTGGTTCTTGGCGTACGGATAAAGCGGTTATTTGAAGCATGCAGAATTGCAGACGAAGGCGGGAACTGAGATGACGAATGAGAAATTTGAGTTTTTATGCTTAATCAAGCTCTTGTAACAAAAACATGCTTCAACATTGATTATAAAGAAATATAACTCTTCCTACAAATTCTTTAACCGAGTGTTTGGTGTCCAGACAGGACAGTACAAAACATGACATAATATAACATGATAAGATAAAATAACTATTCAACATTTGGTAAGATAAAATTAAACAAAACAGAACAAGTAAAATGACAAATTTACCTTAACGAGTTGTTTATTTTAAATAATTTATGTAATTTATTAAATTATAATAAAATAATTATTTTTTATAACAAAATGTAATATTAAAAAGTTTTCGTCAAAACAATTAAAATGACACAAAGTAAAAAGTTTATGTAGTTTCTAATATTTTGTTTTTATCTCTTTTCTACTTTATTTTTTATTATTAATATATAATAAATTACATAAATTAATAAAAATATAGAAACCATATAAAAATAATATTTTGAGAATAGTAAAATGAAAGTCTAAGAAACATAAAATACAATAAATAAAATTTAAAGAATGAATAAAATGTAAAAAAGAAACCTATTTGATGTTTTAGAAAAAAATTAAGTTTTATTTTGAGGTTATAGTGGTAAAATATAAGTCTGTCCCACCTTGTTCCACCCTCTTCCATGGGGTAAGGGTGGAACAGATATGTTCCACTCTACTTCTGTCTGTTCCACAAATGTCATATCAAATATGGGATAGGGATTTTTGTCATGTTCCGTCTTGTCTTGTCCAATGTTCCAAACGCACCCTAAAATCATTGGTCTAAAAAGCTCGACGTATCAGCCATTGTGGTATCTGTTGAGTCAACGTTTGTGTCTAACATTACGTGAAACTTATTTAGCAGTTTTTATAACATGGTATTTGATTTTTTTTATTTGTTAGTTTTTAATATATAATATAATTTAAATCGTTTAATACGATTAACACATTCAACAATAATAGAAAACATACGACATATATAAGACACATTGGAAAATGTTGTGGCCTCACTGTGGCTTCTAGGGATGGTGATTTGCCCCGATCCGGTAGGGAACCCGGTTCACCCGACCCGAACGGGGACGGGGATTCCCCGCTAAAACGGGTCCCGGGGTCGGGACCGGGGATCCCCGGTAGACACAAACCGGGGATGGGGAATGTTACTCAAAACGGGGCCGGGGATCCCCGGTATAATCAAACTAAAGCATACTTTTTACCGGGGATTGACCGGGGTTTACCGGGTTTTGACCGGGAATTGTTAGAATTTGACCAGGGACGAGATGATAATCCCCATACCCGCCGGGGGCCGGGGCCGGGGGACGGTATTACAAACGGGGGCCGGGGCCGGGGATTACAAAACCCACCCCATCCCCGCCCCGTTGCCATGCCTAGTGGCTTCTAAAGCATGAGGTAGTAATTCATGCATTAATATTTGTTTTTAGATTGTATGCATAAAAAGACAGTATCTTATGTATTTAAAGTTGTTATAAAACATGTATCAACTAAGCCTTCTCAAAGCATTTCCTAGAGACGGTCCCAAAATAACCACTTTTACGTCTTTAACATCTCTTTCCGAAATTTTCAAAACATCATTGTGCCCTTCTTTTTGGGGCAAATTACATGAAAAGGTAACGTAATTTAACTTGATTCTTATTTTGGGTAACAGTATTTTCAAAATTTACATTTTGATACTTAAGATGTAAAATTTTAAACATTTAAGTACTCGAATAACCGGTTGAAGACTAATTTTAGGTTAAAAAAGTCTATGTCACTGATCACGTCAGTAAACAATACTGAATTAGATAACACATCACTCGACATATTAACATAATAATCGTTTAATATTTCAACCAATTACCTAAATATTTAAAACTTTAAACCTTATGTATCAAAATAAAAATTCTAAATAAAAATCAAGTTAAAATAGGTTCCACACGTTATATGTTTTATTTTCGATATTATTTTAATATATGTGCCACGAATCTTCCATCGGGGACTCCAAGTCTCAACTCCCCACTGCCATTTTAGGTCTTCTTGCTTTCTTCCATCCCCAGGTCAATCTGCATAGAGCTCCAACTCCTCTCATGGCTGCCATTGTTACTGTTTCTCCGGCGACTTCTCTTCAAGTAAGTTTACTGTTGGAATTTGCATAAGGTTTCTAAAATAGACTCCGATTCCATGTTTAATAGTGCCTGCTATTATTCATTCTTCTAATTTATTTGAATTTTAATTCGAGATTTCGAGTTGATTTGAGTTCCACAGTGTTGTTCTAGGAAGAATGGAGTTTTGTCAGCTACCAAAGCGCTAATGCCTAAATCGGCCAGATCTCAATCGGAGGGAAGGAAAAAGGAGATGAAGGTCATGTGCCAGGCATCAAGCATCTCCGCCGACGGTTGTCCAGAAATGGAGAGGAGGAAGCTCATGAACTTGTTGATATTCGGCGCCATTGGTCTTCCCGCTGCCGGCATGTTGGTCCCTTACACAGCTTTCTTCGCCTCACCTGGGTTCGTTCTCTTCTTACCCTGATTCGTTTTTCACATTTCATCAATTTGTCGATAAATTTTCAAAAAATAAACAAATAAAAGGAAACTATTAGTTTTTGTGGGAGTAAGGGCGTTTGGTTGGTTTTCATTAAGTAATGTATGAAAAAAGTTGTACTTATGGATTAATCTTTCTGTTTGGAAAGTTTTTGTGTTTTTAATTGAGAGTGGCAAGAGTGGTCAGTACGAATATAACGTGGCTTTTTATATAAAGCCAAAACTTACTGAATAAACCACTTTCTATATCATTAAGCTATCATCAAAGAGTCATGTATAGCTGACTTAATAACCAAATAAGCTGTAAGTATTGTTAAGCTCATATTAGCCCATGTGTTAGCAGTTTAAGGGGACTTGCAACTTATTCGGTCAGCTATAGATGAATGTTTTGTTTGGTAGTGGGCTAGTGGCTTTAATGATACAGAAATTGGGTTATTCAAGCTTTCGGGGGAGGTTTATGCAGAAAGCTAGGTTTTTTTTTCCAAACTGCCCTTCTCGATTAGAAAACATCCTCATTCCATTTAACAAAAAGCCCTCACAAACAAAAACCTTCCGAATCTATTTAGGCACACATATAGCTTTATCCATATAGGACGTAGGAAAACCAACCAAACAGCCCAAGATATTGTTCTGATGCAGGTTAAGCATTTGCCCAAGCTCATTGTTTATAAATGACCACAAGATCATGTTCTACAATGTTTGTATGCATGTTTTGTATTCAGCTATTCGGTATTGGATTACTGGACCCACTGCTGTGTAACATGATTGATGACTCCCAAGAACAAAAGCAAGATTATGTTAGAATCTGTAAGGGAAACAAAAAACACAACGTAGTCGATCAGTTTTCCAACATTCATGGTCTTATCTGGCGGTATGTACCGAACATAAACTATTAGGAGAATATAGGCAGAAAATAGATGATGCAAGAAACCTGTGACCCTAGCTGCCTAACCATCATAACCATAGTCGTAGTCTAAGCTGCCTAACCGTCTTAACGGCACTCACGGTCCAAGTTCTTTTAATATTTCTTGTTTGTGCAAAAAGAGTTTGTAACCAGCAAACCCTGTGCTGGAATGCCCCACCTCACCTCAAGGGCATCAAATAATGTATGCAAACTACACCTCTACTCCAAATAGTAGAGAGCGGTTGTTTCATGAAGACCTTCAGTTTGTGAAAAAGTATGTGAAAGAAAGAAATAAGCCCAAAAAGTTTAAGGAAATATAACAAAGAAGGAAGGCTTCGAAAATGAAGAACGTTTTACCAGAAAGACGTAAGATAAAATTGGAAAAGCTAGTTATGAGAGTTAAAATCATGTATTCAAAGGTCGTAGGTGGTTGGCTTAAGAGCTCAGTGCCCATAAGAAGTCAACCCCAAGTGAATTAAAACTTTCACCCTGCGGTTGCAAGACTCTAACCGCCTTAACCGTGCTCATTGTTCAAATTCTTATAAAATTTATTGTTTCTTATATTGCGGCGATTGATTCTTATGTGCGGGGGAATTGAAGCAGATCAGGTGGCTCTGGAGGCGGTATCGTTGCCAAGGATGAGCATGGAAACGATATCATCACATCACAATGGCTAAAGACCCATGGGCCTGGCGATAGAACCCTTACTCAAGGCTTAAAGGTAACGAGTTCAATCCAACTACCCGTTTATAAATAGAGTTTGAAAAAATGCAGAATTCTGTAGTTCAGAAACTATTTCCAATTGTTGAATAGAAAAGTACGTACTTTGTATGTTATCTTTAGGGAAATTGCGTAAAGACTGTCATCTGAAAATTGAGTTTATGCAAATGCTTAAGACATTTGCGTAAACTCTGGAATTCAATTGAAAAAGCGGTTAAAAACTGAAGTTGGTTGCGGAGATTGGCTATTTTGGTCAATTTCCCGTTATCTTTATATGTAATTTTCCATCCTATTCTTTAGGATAATTGTCAAATATGCATACATCCCATCCCCGGACCCCACCTACAAATGAAATATACTCGGTTTGTTTGATTTATCTATAACTTTGTGCATGAAAATTATAGGGAGACCCCACGTATCTAATGGTTGAGAACGACAAAACTCTCGCAACTTATGGAATCAATGCGGTCTGCACCCATTTGGGTTGTATCGTGCCATGGAACACAGTAGAGAAGAAGTTTGTATGCCCCTGCCACGGCTCTCAGTACAATAACGATGGCAAAGTCCTTAAGGGTCCTGCTCATCTGGTAAGTCGCTTCACCGACCTATAAATATGTACAAGTTTTAATGCACAAGGTACACGTTTCTAATGCACCTTTGTTTGGTAGCAGTCTTTGGCTCTGGTTCATACAGATGTAGACGACGATGAAAAAGTGGTGTTTGTTCCTTGGACGGAAACCGATTTTAGAACAGGCGATGCTCCATGGTGGTCGTAAAACCCGCCCTCCGGCTCCTCTAACACGGGTTTTGTTTCTTATGATTCGTTTTCGCTTGCATTTTATTAGATTTAAGCAAGTTTTGACGATTTGGAGATGTAGAACTAGGTAACCTAGTTTAGTAGGGACTAGAAGCTTGAGTTAATGTGGAGAACAGAGAGGGTTAGAGAGCCGACAGATACGGCAACAATATCCGAAGATTGTTAGGATGGGATCTTGTCGTAGTTTTTTTTTTTCCAATAACGTGCTTTGAGCGGTTTATTTCCTGTTTTACACGTTCTCTAAAATAGAGAAAAACGAAGTTTATGGAGGGTTTTTTAGGATCCCGAGTCTCCGAAAATATCTCAAAAAGTTTCTTTAAATAGAGGAAGGTGGAATTTTTTTTTTTTGAAATTTGGAGAATTCTCAAAAATAAAGACGTCAAAACAACTAATGAAATAAATGGAAAATGGGAGAAAATAGTCCCGAAAATAGAAATGAATCCTAAACGATAGGGACTAAAACCGCAATTTCAAAACCTTAAGGATGAAATCCAAAACTTGTGACAAACCACAGGGACGAAAAACGTAATTTATTCTGAAAGTTGAGATATACATGTTTGAGAAGTAATGTTTAAACAAGTGTTGTCGAGGTATTATTATTCATGTTGAAATATGTAGTTATTTTTAAACATGTCTTTTAATAGTTCCATTAAGAGTCAGTCTCTAAATCGTCAAAAGGTGAATCTTGTTTGGCCAAAAAAAATTTGTTTCTTAATTGTTTTAAAACCTTTTGAATGATTTTGTATCCTGGATCTCTCTTAACTATTCGGCGCAGTAATTTCACAGTAAACAATTACCAAACAATTATATTTCATTTTGCACTGTATTATGAGAGTCTTTTAATCATTTTGATCACTTAATCATTCTGCAACTATCAAACAGTCCCTAAGAGGTAATGAATCGAAGAAAGTATGCATATACCTCTTGTGAAAATACACTGCCAAGAGTTTTGACAGGTTCTTCATGAGCGTTTTCCAAGTCATATATATATAAATTGAGTCACGATCAAGGCCGGATCTAGCATACAAATGGCGGAGGATGGGCCCCCATAAAAGAAGAATTATTAATTACTTAGGTTAAACACAATTTTTCTTTAACTTTCTGCTAGTTCCTCCAGTAATTTCTAGCTTGAGCCTTCCACCACCCAAAAAAATTACTTTGAAATCAACCAAAAAAGCATCTCAAAATCAACAACAAAAACACAAAAAGTCCTTTGAAATCAACCAAAAAACTTTAAAAATCCCTTAAAACAATGCAATTAGGCTAAGAACATACCGACAACTTCGCGGGGCCTTTGATCTATCTTAAAGGTGCCTCCAATAGACAAAAATCCTGAATTCGCCACTGGTCAGTGGTTTTTTTTAAAACATGTTCTCATGAGAGAAGAAAATTGCACAAAAGTTCATATTATATGTTAAAAAAGAAACGGTTACATCTTCCAAAGAAAGTATTGCTTATATTTAGGTGGTCTAAATTTGAAATGCAGACCACTTTCTCGTCGATGTGTCATGAACATGGAGAACATTTTTTAAGAGGCAAACAAATTTCATTAGAAGACGAAAAATAAAGTACAATTTTAAGAGTCTTAAGAGACTTAGATTTTGTAAGGTGTAGAAAAACCAATCTAAACAAACAAAGTCAACCAAAGAAGAGAAAAAAAGACGACATAAACCGAGACATACCACCTTGTAATGATGATTATAGTACTCGTGACCTCGATGCTAAACTATTCATATCCATCGTATCCAAAATTTCCCGATAGCCATGAAGTCTAAGAGATATTATTAGTACATTTTGACTGTGACGAAGCCCATACAAAAATAAGAGTAGTAGACACCACTTGTTTTTATAAAAGTTAAAGTGGTAATTATTTTGATATTTTATCGAGAAGGCTTGGATCTGATTCCAATAAAAAACAATCTGTATAGGAAAAGCATAGGGATGTGCAGAAAATAACCGATCCAATTGGAACCGACTGATTCAATTAGAATTGACCGACCATAATTGAATATCCAATTGTAATTGGATCGGATAAGGTTGAAAATTTCAACATCCAATTTGGATCGGTCAGTTCTCAGATGGCAGTCCAAAACCGAACCAATCATCATCTAATTAATCATCTGATGACCATCCAGTTGTCCATCCAACCATCATCCAATTAATTTATTTTCAAATTGTTTAAATCGGAATTTGTTTTATGTGAGGTTTTGAATTTTTTACTTACCTTGTGTTGGTTTTAACACATATTAAAATTGATTAATCGATTTGTATCATTGTTGAATAATTGGATTGAATTAACATATTGGATGGATCCAATCCCAGCAGACCATCCATTGGATATCCAATAAAAGTATCCAATTGATGGAACCGAACCGATCCAATCATCCATTGGATTGGATCAGATCGTTATCCATTATTAATCGGATTGGATCGGTTGACAAAATCCAACATCCAATGGATGATTGGATCGACTCGGTTCCCCTTACATCCAATGGATGTCAACCGATGAACAGTACCAAGAAAACATAGAATGATCATATTTTAAACACCATGTGCATTTGGAGACCTAACGTAATGTTGCTACAAATCTAAAAAAAATCATTGGTTTATTTTAATTCACAATCATTGCGTTAAATGTTTTTATTTATGATAACTTCAAGGGTAGTGTTCGTCTCTCCGATTGGGTTGAACTTAAACTCCAAAGGTCAAAAGTGTCTGCAGGTCTCAGGTTCGAATCCAATAAGATATAAAAAATTCCTTCTAGTCATGGTGGTTCAAATGTGGTGATTCTGGGCTACCCGAACGCGGGTAATCACCCTAGAATTAGTCGTTTCACATAGCGGACTGGTTATCCCATGTTAATAAAAAAAAAAGATACTATAAATTTGGTCTCTAGAATTAGTCATTTGACTTATTTCTCTAACGGTTGTTAGAAAACTCTGTTAAGTGAGAGACATTTTCGTCCTTTTCGATTTTTAGATTTACCTGATTAAAATCTATTTTAAGATTTTGATTGGTTAAAACAACAAATAATCGATAAAATGACAATAATATCTTTTATTTAACAGAATCTTTAAAGATCGTTAGAAAAAGGGGCCAAATTCAGACGTCTTTTATAAACTACAATGGTCATTTTATAATAATTCAAAACTGTAAAAACGAAAAGTATTATTTCTTTATAAACCATAACGACCAAATTTGTAGTTAATTGTTAATATAAACACTAGTTTGGCAGTTGCTGAATGATATGGTACAAAATGATTAAGTGGTCAGAATGATTAATAGACTCTCATGATATAATGCAAAATGAAATATAATTGTTTGGTAATTTTTTACAATGAAATTAGAGCGTTGAATGATTAATAGAGACCCATGATACAAAATCATTCAAATATTTTTTTTTTGTCAAACAAGATTCATTTCTTAATAATTCAAAAATTGTCTCTTAATAAAACTATTAAGAAGTAAATAAACAATCCATGACTTGGGATAATGTGAGACCATAGGTTTTTCGTGAGACTTGTAAGACCAATTCTTAACACTTGGATTAGATCTACAATCTGACAATATAAACATTGATAAACACCACAAGACTTCTCAATATTCACAAAATTGTTACCGTACAACTTTAGACCATTAAATAATTAGCTTATAAAGTTTATCAATAAACATAAATTAAATTTACAGGTCTTACAAAAAACTATTGATCTCACAAAATCCTTTTGATCTCACGTGAATCCAACCCAATCAATCTATCAAATTCGATGTGAGTGATGATAAATGCATTATTAGCCATTAATGCGATATCCAGCGTGGGCCAGAAGGGATATCATCAACAACTCACCTCACCGCCCTCATCAATCATCACATCACTCCCTTCCATTTTTAATATTTTAATTTCATGTTTTTCTTTATTTAATATATAATCTTAATAAAAGTAACCCATGATTGGATATTAAAATTATTTATTTTTAAATCCAAAATAAATCTATGTATCAGAATTCCATATCATTAAATATTTATCAATTTATCCAATAAACAAATCTAAATTTTCAATGAAAATAAATATATTTTTTTATTTTTTAAAAGTATTTATATGCTACCAATACGTATTTATTACATGTATCAACCAACCAACCGAATTCATGACAAGTGTCTACAATACAAAATATCATGGGGATCTGAGTTCAATAGCATGCAAATTATTAAACATAGTAACATATTCAAACTTTTTGGGTTGTTTGTTTACCTCTTAGGGATTGTTTGATAGTTGCTGAATGATTTGGTAAAGAATGATTAAGTGTTCAGAATAATTAAAGCGCTCTCATGATATAGTACAAAATGAAATTTAATTATTTGATAATTATTTACAATGAAATTAGAACGCTGAACAGTTAAGGGATGTCCAAGATATAAAACCATTTAGAAGGTTTTAGAACCATTAAGAGACAAACTTTTTTTTACCAAACAAGATTCATCTTTTAACGATTTAGAGGTTGTCTCTTAATGGAACTATTAAGAGGTAAACAAACAACCTCTTAATAATTCCATTAAGATGCAGCATCTGAATCGTTGAGAGATGAATCTTGTTTGACAAAAAAAATCCGTCTCTTATTTGTTCTAAAACCCTATGAATGATTTTGTATCATGTGTCTTTATTAACCGTTCAACGCTATAAACAATTATAAAACAATTATATTTCATTATACATTATATTATAAGAGTCTCTTAATCATTTTGACCACATAATTATTTTGTACCAAATCATTTAACAACTGTCAAACAACCATTTTATCGAGTGGATATATCTTATTACAATGAAATTAGGACGCTAAATGGTTAAGGGGGTTCGTGATACAAAATCATTCAGATGATTTTAAAACCATTAAAAGATGAATTTTTTTTTACCAAATAAGATTTACCTCTTAATGATTCATAGACTTTCTATTAATGAAATTATTAATATGTATATAAACAACCACTAACTTAATTTTTTTTATCAAATAACAAATCAAATACATAAAGGTATAAAATTTTAATTAAAAAAAAATTGGATCAAATTTGGAAAAAAGATAACCGAAAAAACCACCTGGCCTCGGCTCAAGCTTACGCGGCGGCGGCGGCGGCTTCACCATATTTGCTAGATGAAAGCTGTTATTGTTAACGTGGCTCATGTTTACTGGGTAGTGATGACACGTCATTGATCGCTAGGCGCCGCCGTCGGTTTTATCATGGAGCTGTGTTTAATCATGGAGTAACCACTTCATGGTTCAAACAGCTAGGATATACCTGCTTATTATTATTAAATTAAAATGGCTCCACATTACTTTGCATAAATTACACTTAACCCCCTAAACTATTTTTTTTAATTGTTACAATCATAATAAATCTAAAAGGATCTTTTAGTTTTGGTACGGTACCAAGTTTTTCTTAGTATCGTGTATCAATCAATTATAATTGATATATAAAATCTTATATTATGTACCAACTAAATGTACTTGGTACCAATTTTTTTTTTCCGGTCGGTACTGATTTGTACCAACTTCAAGTTATATATACAAAAACTTGTCATTTTGTTCAATGTTTGAGTAGCATTTCCAATAGATTTCCTATTTTGGAGACTGCAACATTGATTATAATATTAAAATACTATTGGTCCTATCACTTGGTAATCATTTTTGGGATGATCACCATATTTGGATAAAAAACTCTTCTCTATCCTACTTTCTTCATTTTGGAGATAGTTTTGAGAAAGCTGTTGGAGCAAAATATAGGCTCAAAATCCCTATTTTCTCCATTTTTTTCATTTTGGAGAAGCTGTTAGAGATATTCTAAATAATTAAATATGTATCATGACACTTCCATGATACACGATCTTCAATACCGTGTACCAACCAAGTTTGAATACTTGATATGATACTACCAAACGACTGTAACTGGTACCAATTAAGTTGGTACCGAATTAATTAGTACGATTGATATACATGTTGACTGGTTTGGTACAAAATTGCCACCCCTAGAAATTTATTAACGAGGGACCTTCTTTTGGAAACTTTTTAAATCGTGATATATTTGAGAACCAGTGGGTCATGTGCTATTTCATATGATTTTTTTCCATCTATGGTTAGAAATTAATGTAGTGATTTATATACATTTTTTTCACAATATGAATTTTTTTGACGTGTCTGTGAAACAAAAAAAATACACGTATAAGAGTTTCACATTATGAACCAGATACATATGAAACAAATATATGTTAATCAATATATTAAATTCTATACTTAGATGAAAAAAGATAATGTGAAAGAAAACTTCAAGGTGGAAGTTCTCATAGATCTAAAAAATTTAAGAGTTCTTAAATGAATAAGCCCAGTAAAATCAAGTAATTATTTGGAAAACATCTTAAATATGAACTCATATCAATATCCTTTGTAATAAAATTTCATAGGAGAGAGTTTTTCATAATGAACAAAACTTTGGGGTAGGTATTGATATACTTACAATCTATAGGGGGTGATATGTATAGAAGGCATAACTTTAGGGGCTATTATGTTATTTGTCAGGAAAGGTCCACTTGAGTACAGAGGTACAAACAGAAGGCAGAGAGCTGAAGTTCCTGATGCTTGCATGATGAACACCAAAGGGCGACCTCGGACATCAAAATTAAATTAAATTACGTTTCAAAATCATTCACTTGAAGTCCGTTATCGCTTTTACATAAGAAACGGAGGCCATAGCACCGCCGAAAAACTTGAATTCCGTCAACCGGAGATAATATACGTTGTTTGTATGGTGTGAATTTATCATAAATTAGGTGGAACTCTGTTATAAGTTAGTTATGCCTATCTCCGACCACCGCCGTTCTCATTCGGCGGGAAAGCCCTGGTTACTATGTCCGTTTTGGCAATCTGGAACAGCTTCTTCGTCAACGCAGAATCTTCAATTTCAGAATCAGAAAAGCCATGAAAACGGCGTTGCATCAAACGGTCGATCTTCCAACAAGGTATCGTCGGTGGCGAAATCGCTCCTACCAACTAGGCGGAGACTCCGCCTTGATCCGGCTAACAACCTTTACTTTCCTTGTGAGTAATTGTTTCAAGTTATCATGATCGTATGCTATCTTTGTATTGTTCGAATGTTTTGAATTCGAGGTAACCGGTTTACGTTTTTGACTGATTCAATCTTCACATTGATATTTCGTTTTCTTATGTACATTGATTGCATTTACCGTTGGAGATTTCTATGTTCGTAATAAATACATTAATTGATCAGTAATGCTACATGCTCGTAAATATCGTTCTAAAATCACATGGCAAAATCATGTGAGTTTGATTTTTGCATGAAGGAGCATTTTTAGGAGGAAGTTTAGAGTTACAGCACTACTCTTAATTGATTGACAAGGTTTTGATGGGATAAATCTTTTCCTTATTAGTTATTACATTTCTGATTGATTTACTACCGTTTTTGGTGTTGTAGATGAGCCTGGTAAACAGGTGAAAAGTGCTGTTCGGATCAAGAACCATAGCAGTTCTCATGTTGCTTTTAAGGTATTCCATTTAATATTTGCTTAAATTTATATGCCAATGGAGGATACAAGCATCCATGGACGTGTTATTTATAAGTTTGATGAATGGAGTTTCTTCAGCACAAAACTGATCTGCTGATTAACTTTTGCTAACTAAACCAATTGTGTTTTCTGGGTTAACGCCCTTAGTTTCAAACCACTGCACCAAAGAGCTGTTATATGCGACCTCCTGGTGGGATTCTGGCTCCTGGGGAAAGTATTATTGCGACAGGTAATCATCTCCCTTGTAGCATATGATGTTCCAAGTGAATTATCTGCATTTATGTGCTCACTGACATAAACTGATGACAGTTTTCAAGTTTGTTGAGCAACCAGAAAAAAACGAAAAACAGCTGGACCAAAGGAGCAAGGTTAAGTTCAAGATCATGAGCCTCAAGGTCAAAGAAGGAATTGACTATGTGCCTGAATTGGTAAGTTTTTTGGGATTTCTTGAGCATCTCATTAGTATCTTGTGAAGCTTTATGGTCAGCAATTTAGCTTTATTCTCGCATTCATTTGAACCTTCTCTTTGCATACAAGTCTGAAATTTTCATGAGAGCCCTTTGTGAGCAGTATGTGCAGGGCTATGTAATATCCATTGTAAAGTTTTCTATATCACAGTCAAAATTTCGATAATGAGTACGATGGGTAGTATTAGAGTGGCAGATGATATTACATGGAACTAGAACGTCGGTCATAAATGGGTTTTGTATGGATATGTAATTTTGTATCGTCAAGTTGCAAGAATGCAACCATGCTTCCACTTGATTAAAATTTCTTATACCAAGGTTAGCTGCCATCCTTATGGTACACTTTTCTTTTTTCATGGCCTTGATTGTTTTGGTACAAACATTTTGATGTCTTATGATTAGATGCTTACTTTCCACTAAATTTCATGTAATAGTGTGAGCTTGATGATAGCACTCAAGTATTGACACATATGTATTGCTAGATGAACTATGTGTGATCAACTTTGGAGATATAAACTTGTTTTTTTCTGGAAGACAAATCTTATTCAGAATATGCTGTTTCTTTTAGTTTTTACTCTACATATGAGTGGTGCAAATTTTCTGTTGGCATTTGTAGTTGATGCCTCTTTCCGATTGATTTGTGCTAAATTCTAAATTGATTGTATTCTATAGGCTGGGTGGATATTAGAAAATTATTATTTATGAAGCAATTACCATAGTAATTTTAAGATAAACTTTTTGTTCTTTATGAGGCAAGCGTTAGAGCAACCAATAAGCTTGCTCCCTTTGAGGGTTTGAACTGGCGGAACAGCCTCTTTGATAAAAACAAGGGGAAGCTGCAGACAGATTCCCTCCCTTATCCTTTGTAAAGCAGATGAGCTTTGGAGTGGTTGTGCTTTTAACATTATGTTCTTTTTCTTACAGTTTGAGGAGCAAAAGGATGAAGTAGTTGTCGAGCGAATATTACGTGTTATTTTCTTGAATGCGGAGCGCCCTACCCCTGTAAGTTGATGATTGCTTCTTTGTCAGTAATTAGTGCTTGTTTATATTAGCTGCATTCTGTTATATAATTGGTCATCATATAAAATTGACACAAAGATTGTTGCATTCAGGCATTGGAAAAACTAAAACATCAACTGGCTGAAGCTGAGGCTGAATTAGAATTACGCAAAAAACCTCAAGTGGATACAAGTCCAAAAGTTGTTGAGCAAGGACTTGTTATAGATGAATGGGTAAGTTATTGCTTCTCCTGCTGTGATCATCCTATTAGCATTCTGTATACAATGAAGCATGAGACTCGGTAATGTTCATTTTCCATAATGGCGTTCAGCCTCTTGGTACCAAATCCAGCCTTTTGAGTGAGACCTTCAGGTTAATTATGGGTTCCAGACTTGTGAGAAATGTATACAAACATACATCACATAATGTGCCTTATTAAAACGTACAATAAAATAAATATTCAGCATCCACACTCACTAAAACCCATTCAATACATGCCACACGGCTGTGCTTACAACTTAATAGTAAAACTGAGATGCTGAAAAATCTATAGTTTACAATGTTACCTTCTTTTGCAATTTGTATTAGTTCTGTCATCAGGCGGATTTAAGAATCTAACAATTTATGTGTGCATTCTCTCTATAGAATCTTCCATGCACTTTAATTAAGCATACAACTCGGTTCATCTTTGCTCTAAGTGTTAAGAGTCCCACATCGGCTAGACTTGGACCATTTCACATCCATTTATTTTGGAACTTCCCTTCTCTGTTCAAGGGTTATTTTGGAGAGTAAGTATGAAATTCCATATATTCTCACATAGTATCAGAACAAATTTCTATCATTCCGGGTTCTCATTTGCAAGTTCTTTTTTATACATTTGAAATTAAATATTTGATATTTATTCATAAATATATAATAATTATTGATGTTGAAAAAGTACATGGGACCCACAAAAAGGTTATTATAAGTTATAAAAACTACCATTGGGGAATTTTCTATGAGTTCTTAATTTGATGAGTTGGAAGTGGTCCGACAACAAAAAGTACAAAAAAATAGGCTCTTGTAAGAACCCCCATTGGAGATGCTCTTAATATTAGGCTTATTTTTCTTCCTACGATCAACAAATAGGACTACACTGTTTTGTTTGTATAAAACATTCATACATTGCTATATCTAACCTTACTATATCTAATATGTAGAGTAGTGTATAACACCATATCCAGCTATATTTTGATATAACTCCGTCACTAAGTTTTGTTACTTGATCTTTTATTTCAGAAAGAACGAAGGGAGAAATACCTTGCTCGACAACAGGTCGAGGCTGTAGATTTGGTGTGAGGAAGTCTCTCGTGTCGTAAATTTGTTATTTCATCTGTGACAGATATATCGGTCCCAATTCCACCATCTTGACTCGATCATGCACCAGTTATATATGTTGGAATTGGTAGAGGTTTCAGAGGTTTGTAGCAATGCTGGTCGATGCGTTAACATATGCATCAATCATTAGACGAGCATCGTAAAATGTCCTCCTGGGCCTTACCTAGTAAAATGATGAAACCTTATTTTTATCAATAAGTTCAAAATGTGTAACAATGTAATTCATACTTGAATAAATAACCATTTAAACTTTATTTTTCTTTTTATGTTTTTATTAAGTTCTATATCAAGGGGAAAGTTTAGTTGAGAACCGCATTTTCATTTGTGAACCGGGGAACCACCGAGAGGATAACATGTGTTCATTATTCATCATGAATAAATGTCCTGTACACATGACGTGACTTTTCTACCACATTTTGTGTGGTTCCCTGATTCACAATGGAAATGTGGTTCTCAACCGAACCTGCCACCAAAGATCGTTAATTGGCAGCTGATGTTTCCATATCAATTGTGTTATTTATTCACAGATTTGTATGTAAAAACGGAATTTAAGATTACTGGTTTTGTATCTCTACTGAATTTTATCGGATTGAAAATGAAAATGAAAACAGGAGAAAAAGACGAGACAGGATGGGTGGGTTGTAGTGGTACACTGAACAAGGTTCATAAGACAATACTCGATTGCGACATACCTGCATGGAGTCACAAGAATGAGACAATATAGTGTAGCCGGTTTCGGCAATTGGTTTATCTTATGGGTATTTAAAACACATTTATATTAAAATCATGTTAAATTATACATTATAATTAAAAATTAAGTTTTGATGTTGGTTTATGTGATGAGAAAGTTAATAGACAGGTTTACATTTAGCAATATATAGATTTACATTTAAGGGTCGTTTACTAAACGCTTACCTGGTAAGTGTTTACCAAGTAATTTTCCTTATCTGATGAACATGACAAAAGTAAAAAATCTTACCCGGTAAGCACAATGATATAGATGGAGAGTCTTACTCGGTAAGTGAGGGTGACGACTCTTACCCGGGTAAGTGTTTACCTAGTAAATTGTTGCATACGCTACCATTTTAATGTACTACAATCTTACACAGTAAAATAAATTATAATGTTACTCCTAAAAGTAAGTACTTATCGGGTAAACATTTAGGTAAATGGCCCCTTAGACTGACATTTTATATGTCCAACTCTTCTCCACACCTCCAAACTTTTCTAGCTCTATATAAACTAATAAACCTACCTTTCACATTCATAATGGTCTCAAAAAAACATACCCAAAAGCTTTCCCAACAGTAACCACATTCCAAGCCTCAAGAAGATAATATCTTCATCGTTTAACAAATCAATCAAACTCAGTATATCGTTCATCTGACTTCCAGAATTCCACGGAAATGAAGCTTGTCAACAAGGCTTGCTTTATCGTGACACTGGGAGCTGTAATTGGTTTGCGACATCTCTCGTTTAGATCCAGATCCCACACGCTTTGGCAAGCACTTGGTCCATCGGTGTCCCAAGCCAGCCAATATCCGGTTGCATTGGACCCCTCCGGCAAATCGAAAAACCCTAGAGATGTCGAAGAATCGTTGAGGACCGTAGCCTATTTGAGTTGTTGGGGTCCATATCAATAAGCTCAACAGTCTCGGAGCCAAGATCGATGAAACACGATCAAATTACTCTTCAAAAGAGTTTTCGAGAAAAGAATGAAGATTCCAATATAAGTTCAGAAGAAATGGTCGAAATCATAGCTGATATGAGATTCCAACAACAGTGTTCCATGTTTTTATCTTGCCTTTATGCTTCTTTTGATTGATATATATATATATATATATATATATATATATATATATATATAAGGTTGGGTT